AGGACCCAGCAATCCTCAGTAAGACTGAGGAGGGGTTTAAACCTCCACCTTGGCCTGCAGGGTTCAGAGGGTTGGGGGAAGAGGGAGTATGGCCAGATGGGGGCATAGCCTGACTCCTGTGGTAGGACAAAAGGAGTGGGGGGAGAGTGAGTGGCGGCAGCAGGGAATTAAACCCCCTCCATTGGCAGTTCACTCCAGGCTACTGCCAGGGCTGACCATGCCCCCGCTGCTGGAATAGCCAGTGAAGAAATGCAGGTCACGTTGGTTGGACAGGGGACGAAGGGGGGGTGGGAATAACCTCTTCCCTGCTCCCTTCTGGGCTGGCGTCTGGCCAGGCCCCCACCCCTGCCGGTCCCTGCTCCAACTAGGGAGCAGAGGGGCAGGGCCAGGCCTGCATTGCTGGAGCAGAGAGCCCAGTCCAGAGAGCATGTCAGGATGCTGGGGAACTCTGGTTTAACTTAAACCAGGAAGGGGTCTGGGACAGAAGTTGCATAAACCAGTTTAAGCTCAATCAGTTAAGTTTGATACTACATTTAACCAGGTTTATCTCAAACTGGTTTTGGCCATTTTGAAACTGGTTTATGTGCACTGAACTTATGTTCTGTTACAGGTTTAAACCAGTTTCTGAACACTTAAACCAGTTTAGTATAATGTCTGTTCCTAGCCTTTATGTTCTGGTACATGTTGAAACCAGCTTCTCATCACTTTAAACCAGTTTATGTGTAACTTATGTCCATAGCTGGTGTGTCTCAGAGACAACATTGCATGTCTAGTAGTCTCACTCATGGGCGACTGGTGTCGTCCTCAGTCAGGGGGGACACGTGGCATCGGTGTGCCCGCCTGCCCCCCGTGCCCATTGCCTAAGTGGCAAGCACGGCCAGTCAGGCAGTGCACCAGTGCTCTCAGGGGGTGCACATGTTCCCCCGTGGTGCACCCCCTATGCATTGCCACTGGTCTCACTTCATCTAAACTGGAAGCAAAATCAACTGTGAACTGTAAAATCAATTTTAGTATCTATTAAATTATTTTAAATTTTAATCTTGAAAATTGAGGTCTTTTGATTAAACAGAAGGAACAAGCATTGTTAATAATTTAGCTTTTAGGTACATGCTTCCCTAACAAGGTATATCTATGTGTTATCTTAGAATACATTTTCAGTACAGAATACTGCTATTTCTGTATAGTTGAGTGTGATTATGGTATTTTCTCTATTGGATATGCTGTCTGTTACTGAAATTCCTGTGTTACTTAGATTTTAAATACAATCAAACACAGGTTTCCATAATCCTATTGAGAGAGGTCCTTTATGCTCATAATATACATTCACATGAATATTAAATGTATGATATCTCTGAGAAAATATACATTTCATTATTTCTTCTGTGGAATATAAATATCTTTATTGATAATTTAATTCAGTTTATGATCTGGAAATCATATACCTACATTCACTAACATAGTTCATGAAATCCTGAGATAACAAAACCTAAGTGAAAACAGATTGATCAGAATGTAAAAATCAGGCTAATACATATTTTTCACACTCATTGTAATATAAAAAAGTATCTAGTCTGTTTAATGTAACATACAGTCTGGCCTGCCTAATATAAAAATAAATGACATTAAGTTTGCAAATTCCTTGAATAAATAATCTCTACTTGCCATGTAATACTTAGGGGTAGATTTCATTGTGAAATTTCAGTCACACTGCTCCCATTAACATTAATGAAAGTTGTGCTACTAAGTCCCTATGCACCATACTGAAAACATAGCCCTTAGAATGCTACAAATGAATGTGACCATGAAGCCAATTAATGGATAGTACATTTTAAGAACATTCAGGTTAACATAATATTATCCTCTAGAGGAATAGGAGTATTAATATTGTAGAATTAATATTGCAGCCAATACTAATATTGTGGGGAAAACTCTGGGCACGACTTTGATAATACAGGAGTTGGTGTTTAATTTTATAGTTATTCACTTGGCCTCTATGAAATCTTTCATTGTTTCAAAACCCATGCATTTCTATGTGGCAAACTGGCAAACTTAATTGTCCAGCATCATCATTGGCTTCAACATGGCATTTCTGTCTGAATTCTTTTTACCCAGTATTGTTATTACCCAGTATTGTTATATGTGGTGCTTAAGATAAGGTAACTATGTATAAATGAGAGTAAAGAAAACAAATTTTCGGGCTTGTGTAGTGCCTCTTTTCTTGCAGGGCAGAGTAACTGGTTCAACATGGCATTTCTGTCTGAATTCTTTTTACCCAGTATTGTTATATGTGGTGCTTAAGATAAGGTAACTATGTATAAATGAGATTAAAGAAAACAAATTTTCAGGCTTGTGTAGTGCCTCTTTTCTTGCAGGGCAGAGTAACTGGTTCAACTTACATCTAAGCACATTGGAATCACTGAACAAAGTGAATCTAACATAGTAGAACCTGCAGAAGTATAGGGAGACTTTTAGAGAACCCTTTCTAAGAGGAAAAGGAGCAAGCAAGCTAACTTGCTTTGAGACAGAGTTTGATAAGTTTATGAAGATGATGTGACATTAATTGCTGTCAAATTTCTGGACTGTGGGGAGTCCTGCTGGCTGGATGACATGGCCCTGTGCACTAGATCACATTGGTGTGCAGTCAGGCTGGTGTGCAGAGTTGCTCCGGTCCTGTGGACCGACTCTGCCCAGGATCCAGCCTGTGGACAATCCCCATTTCACTCCTTCAGTCTGGGGCTGCAAGGTTGCATATGATGTTGCAAGGGATCATAAAGCAAAGTGATTATCTTGGTTTTCTTTTCAGAATGCAGGATGATATTTTTGTCACTTTCAAAGATCCTACACCACTCTGCTTCTCCTTAAATCTTCTAATATTGTATTAGTTTCCCCTCTATGTTCCTCATAAGCTTCTATCTGTGATGTTTCATTTATATTCTTCTTGCAGTATCTTCTGGATACCTACCTTTGTACTGTAGAATGGTGCAGTTATCTCCAGTGTCCTTTTTGCCATTGGAATGTAGGATGGACATACCAGTTGTGCTATCCCTTTCCACAGCATGAGTTTTGGAAGGCCCATATTAATTAGACTTATTTCTCTCAGTATATTAACTAAGGAATGCAATTCTGAAGCATGGTACAATAATTTAACAATATAATGCCACTATTGTAAAGACACTCAAGAAAGTATTTAGTGAACTCCTATCCTTGAAGAAAACTCAGACATATAAGATGCAAGTGTTAATACTTACCTTGTTTCTTTTTGTAGGATCGTCGCTTTAATGATGAAATTGACAAACTGACTGGATACAAGACAAAATCATTGTTGTGCACGCCCATTAGAAACAGTGATGGAGAAATTATTGGTGTTGCCCAAGCGATAAATAAGACGCCTGGAGGTGCCCCTTTTACAGATGATGATGAAAAAGTAAGGTTGTGTTTATCTTGTATGCTTCATTTCCTTAGTATCTTCAGAGATATTCTCTGCAAATGTTATTTCACTATTACGGACCACTTATCTAATTATGTAAGATGAAACTGTATCATCTGTAATCAATTGATTTTTTTTGTCAGGGTGATAATATTATTATATTTTGATAGCTTGCAGGTTCCTAGTGTTCCTAGTGTAGGTTTTTTGAGTATTTATGCTGTCAGCTCAGTTAGTTTGTTGCTTCATCTATCTGGATGGGTTTTCTAATTGAGAATGTGTCTTATCAACTCTTACATAAAGGTCTAGGTAGAACTAATAAAATGTTGCCGTCCCAGCCTTGTGATAAAATGATTGTCACACACAGCAGTAGAGCTCTATCCTACCTGTTCCTTATTTCATGAAGACAACCATTAGTTTTCTATTATTGTTTTATTCATTAGTTATTATTAAAAAGAAGCATTGTTTAAAAGAGTTAGTATATGTGATATTTCACTTTCTTTATATTTCACTCAATAAAGACATGATATAGGAATAAAAATTCACATTCTATTATTTTTATTTATGCTTGATGTAATTACCACATTTGATTGTGTGCTGCCTCATATTGTTAACCTTCTGAAAGTAAAATAATAGAGGAGCCAAAATCACTAATACAAAATGATTAAAAGAAAGTGTTTCAGAGTTTTGTGTGTTAAAAATTTATGATACAATATGCATAGCTTTTGCATTAGGACACATCTTCTTAGATAATTTAATTTTAATAAGAGTCATTGCATTAAAAATCCATTTAAAGTGGGAGGGAATTTATTATTCATGATCTCTTTTTATTTTACAGTAAACTAATTGTTTTTGACAGTCCTATGGCTGTGTCCTTATGAGACAATCTTTGCTAACCTTTCCCACTATTGGAATCATCATTGGTTCAGTCCCACTGATGGGAGCCAGGGCCAGATTTATACCTCACTTGCTCATAGGCACAGGATCTTCAGCACCTCCTATCCGGATGTGGGAGGGAGGGGGTGGTACACGGCTGGATGTGGAGCAGGTAGGAGGGGATGGCTCACGGGTGGGTGGTGATGGATTGCCACTGCCTCCCAGGAGCAGGGCTGGGGCAGTGGTGGCAGCGTCACCCTTCTGCAGTGGGGAAGGGGAGCTAGTGGGTGGTGGCAGCTGCCGCTGCCTCTGGTACATTGGCACTCCTAAGCATGTGCCTGCTTTGTCTTACGGGTTGTCCAGCTCTGATGGGAGCATTAGTGCAGATTATAGGTGGGAGTTAGTTTTTTAAAGCAGTGGGTGTCAACCCTTTTGACAAGCATATCACGTATTAGCCCCATAGTCTCCATGATCCCTTTCCCTGTCTGATCTTCTGTTTGCTTTCTGCTCCCTGCCTGGTTTCCTGCCTGTTCTACTGCTCTGCTTTTTGCTCCCTGACCTGTCTGTTGCTATGCTACCTGCTTTTTCCCTGATCTGCTATGTGTTACATACAGAGGCTGCCCATTTATGACATCTGCAATATATCTACATGTCTAGTATACTCTGCATCACATATCTAATGCTAAATAATGATACTTCTTCATGGAATGTTCTCCATAGATTTCTGATTTGGGATTTTGATGCACTCAAGGTTATTTAAAAATTAATAATGTAGAAAGAGTCCTATGCCCTGATATGTAAACCAATATGTATCCACCAAAAATTTATATCATTAGTTCCTGTTTTTCTCTCTGTCAGCAATGCATATATGTCATATTCTAAAAGAAAATAAGATATAATATGGGCATACACCGACATTGTGTATGTGCATGTATAATCGTGTTGTTTTTTTTAGAACATGATATACATGCATAAACAAATTTAACATTGCCTGTAAAATGTATAGTCCATATTACAAAAAAACAATTTAACCTGGATATGTATTTAACATATTATCATATATTATTTCTCTTAGAACATGGCATATGCATTGCATGTGTGGCTGTATATAGACAGTTATACACACAGACCTGCTTTTATGGTCTGTGACTCTTCACTCTAAA